CAACGGGTAGCAATCAGGGGTTGTTTTGGCATTCACTCGCCGGTAATCACCGGTGGGTCGCCAATCGTTGCTATCCTTTTTCGGAACCATATGAAGTGGGGATGCCCATGGGCTATTCGAAGGTCGAATGATGCCAAGGCTAAGCATATGGTCAAATTCATTCCTGGCGATTCTCAGTTTGTCAGGAGCTAATCGTCGTGCTTTAGATGTCACAGGTTGTCCTGTGGTAATGATGTGGTGCATAACATTGCTGGTTATGCACGGTAGGTCGTTCGACGGGCAGTTAAGTTCCGGATACTTGTCAACGATAGGTTGAAAAGTTGGATCAAGAATTGCCTTTATCTTAACGGGTGACAAGCTAGGGCCTATGTAGGTAATGCCTTTGATAGACAGACTAGTAGTATTGTCAATCAGTCGTTTTCGGCGGACGTCTACGAGTAAATCATGATGATTAAGTAGGTCCGTGCCAATGATGGGCATTGTAACGTCAGCGAGAAGGAAAATCCACCGAATAGGTTTGCGTAAACCTACGTTCAGATAGACGTATTTCCTACCAAAGGTTGCGATTGGTTTTCCATTTGCAGCCTGTAAGTTGAAGGTAGGTTCCTTCTGTCGATCTGCTGCTGTAGCAGGAAGGACGCTGACTTCGGCGCCTGTGTCGACTAAGTATCGAGTCTGGCTTATCACATCATGGATGTAAAGTAGGCGGCTAGTGCCACCGGCGACGGTTGCCGCTAACGCGTGCCGGCGGGATAGTTTCCCGCAGACTTTGAGACATTTCCGAAGTTACAAGGCTTACGGCAACACTTCGCTTCTTGGCCATAGGTGTTGTGGTACCAGCACCAGTCAGGGTTTTTCAGTGAACGTGGTTTGGACTTAGATCGACCACGCGAGTTCCTGCGTTGAGGAGATTTAGGACGACGGTTGGAGGATTTAGAATGTGTGTTTGACCTAAACATCTGCTGAAGGGAGTTGCATAACTCTGTCATTGCAGGATCCTCACTCGAAGTCTGCTTAGTCATTGAGCATATTTCGGGGACAGACCGTTTAGTTATTTCTAGGATCTTATCTGCAGTAATAGCTAAGTTCTCTATTACAGTACCCTCAAGTGTCACAAGTACGGTCTGTACAGATTGTGGCAACTTGGTTAAGAAGAGTTCTCTAAACAGTCCTTCGTCGAACTGACATTGGCCGACGACTTGTTTCATTCTTGTCAGCATGCTCACGGCTGACTGATCTCCTAACTCGATGTTGCGAAATAATTCATCTAGACGTTGTCTGTCCGTGAGAGCGTTTCTCCTGAGGAGGGATGCTTTCAGCAACTCGTACGAGTTACTTACCTCGGGACTCAACATCTGTGATGTTACGTACTTGCTGAATTCCCGCGGTAGGGCGTGAATAACTGCAAGTAACTGTGAACGTTGATCAGTTATCCCATGCTCACAAAAATCTGCTTCAGCTAGCAGAAACCACGTTTCAGCATTATCTGGCCAGTATGGTACGAGCTGAATGGTTTTAGGAGTTGAGCGGATACGGATGACCTTGGGACTAAGATCACTCATGACGAAAATTATGTCGAATAATATATGGTACAAGAACAAATACAAAATGGAACGAACTCACCGGGGTTATCTGCGGATTTTTCGTGGATAAAGTTCGCGGTTGGGCTCACCAGTTTAAAGGTTGGCGGGTTTATCGTGGGTGAAGTTCTCGGTTGGGCTCACCAGTTTAAAGGTGGGCGGATATTAAAGGTTTGACGTGATATCTCGTTCAACAACTTCTAATTAATTTATTCTCGCGTACCAAAGACAAAGCAAAAGCCAACAATTGATCGTCCAAACCAATAGATGTATTTACGAACCAAAACCAGCCGTTAGACGAACGCTTAGCTAGCTAGTGATCGTGCACGTGACACGACGAGGTACCAAATGGCGGGGATGCTTGACCGGAAGCCTTCAGCTAAACAAGTCGACTTAAACAGTGGTGGTCAGCATCCAATGAGTGATTGCTGTGGTCAATAATTTTGGGGAATTATTTACCGCTACAGTTTCTTCCCTCCTTACAAACTCTACTTGAAACATTCTTCTTCTTTCTTTCATACTGTGTGTATCTCGACCTTTTTGTTACCGCTTACGCCAGTAAATATGCTAGCATCTACTTTTCTAACACCTTCAAACACTGTTCAATTTTGGCTTTGCTACCGACATTCCAATATGTTGTTTTCATAACTAACTGAGATTACCCTTAATCTATGTAGGACTTTATTTATTGTTAGTGTACTAACTGGATGCAATAATGTAGTAAAATGCTAAGAATTCCATTCTGTATCACAAGTGCAGTTTTGGAATAAAGCAAATTATTATTAATTTAGCGAATGTCAAACGAGCCATCCGTATCCAACAACCCACTTGCTTTGGCTGATGCAACTTCCCAAAGAAGTGAAATGCTGGTCAACACTCTCAACCAACACTTCACTCCTGCCTATTTTTAAGCTAGGAGTCAATGTAGTCTTGTCATGTAGCATCACCTTACATTTGACTGCAGGAGCGAATCACATGCCGAACATTCGAAGACTGCAGCTCCTCAAGGTATTCAAAATTGTGCATTTTATCGGCGTGTTCACGTAGAAGGACTATATCATCCGCATGCATATTCTTAGTCAACGAGATTATTTCCTGGTAACAAGTCAATCCCTGAATCGCTGAAGTCAGCAGTTCGGGTTTATTCCACTGGTGCATCCATGATAAAGTTAAGCAGAGTTGAGGGCATTGGGTTGGCATCCGTGATGAACACCATTGGTTGTCGTCTCACTTCAGATGACAACTCTCCGTAGGCTCTCACCTGGCTGGTTGCATGATTTCCAGTAAAGTGCAGCGCAGTGTATTTTCTCCGCATTCCTTTCACAGTCAAAAATCGCCATAGTACCTTTCGCTCGATGGAATCGAATATCGCTTTCTGATGGGTCAATAAATATGACAATTGCTGGAGACTGGTAGGTATGGCTGTGTTCTATAATCTGTCGAAGGGTGAATATATATGAACGCAATACACTGTTTTCCTGGTCTAAAGGTTGTCTGATATCCTTGTGTTATTTTCCCTCCCGAGCAGCATCACTTACTGTAGGCATGATTAATAAGCCTAGAAGTTTGGATATCATATTAGTCAAGCTAATCCACGCCTAAATGATTATCACAGGAGGATTTTTCTCCTTTCCTGTATATTGGGATAATCAATAACTCACACCTACCCGATGGGACTTCTTCTGATTCCTAGACACTGCCTAAAGTATTAGTTAACTCAGACAGTAAATCGTCTCCACTGTACTTAAATACCTCTTGAGTCATTCCATGAGGTCCTGCTGCTTTGTCTCGTTCCAGAATAGTGACAGCTTCAGTAACCTCAGTTAGGGACGGAGGACCTGTGTCTATATCCCATTCAGGGGGGTGTTGGATGTTCGGCAGGTTGGGCGTGGCTGTAAGCCAATTAAACTGCTCCTCATAGTGCTCTTTCCAGCGTTCCAGTCGTCTATTCTGAGAGCTAATTATGGTGCCGTTCTTCTCAGAGATTGTTTCACTTATCATTTGCCTTTTACCACCTGTTTCCCTGATAAGCCTAAATAGTTGTCTGGTGTTCCCAATCGCCGATGCCTTTTCCATCTCTTTCGCTTTTGTCATCCACCACTGTTCATGGTCGTTGCAAAGACTTCTTGTTAGTTTTCGTTTGAGTAGCTTTCGCTCCTCATCATAATCGGAGCTCGCCGGAATCAGTCGGATGAGGCGGAAGAGATCCAAGGGCTCTTATTAACTTTTGTTTTTAGCTTATTAAAGCTTTTACATCTGTGTCTACAGCTAACTGTATGTTGTGCCAGGCTGCCTTAGGGGGAAGTTCTGCTGTCGACCTCAGGGATTCGTTTATCTATTTCTTCCTTAAATAGGGACTCAATGTCTTGATCTAGTCGGTGACGTAATTGTTTGGCTGCCAGCAATTTTTTGTCCGTTTAGTCTTAGGCATAAACGTGCGAGAACCAGAGCGTGATCAGAGTCTATGCACGTGTTCCAAAGGATCGACAGTCTTCTACCCATCCTCACCAGCGATGTTCTATCGCCATGTGGTCCATTTGAGTCCAGCGTTGATTTGGTGATGGAGATCGTCAGATAACACAATCCCTGTCTTTATGCCTAAAGTTAGTGCTGACTAGGAACAGATAATTATCTGTACGGAACTGTAGTAGACGATCACCGCTGTCGATTCGTCACTAGTGAACTTTATACGTGCAACCTACATGCTTCTCAGTCTGGCACGACTTCCCTACTTCGGCATTGAAGTCGTCTGCTAAAACAACTATATCTGGAGGTTTCGTCTCATGCAGCAAATTAAACAGTTTCGGGTAGAAGTCATCCTTTAGTTCATCCGAAATTTAGTCGTTTCGGGCCCAAGCGGAGATTAGGAAAAGTCATCGACGGTCAAGGCCGTTGTCAGCCAACTCTCAAAAACTGTCAATGTCCAGCTCTTACTATGCTGGACCTCACGATGTCCCTCGAAGCTTTTCAGAAACAATTTGTAATAACCGATACGAATAACCAGAACACTGATTGGCGACTCGAGAATCCTTTATTCTGACGCCAACATATAACCAACAATACTGTTATTACAGAAGAAGGTCTAAGAATAAATGTTGTTAAAATAAATCACGATATTACTTCTGATAGTTTTTATTCTTCCTTCTGAACAGCGACCAATGAGACGATGACTGATGGATTGATGACTCCGCGAAAAATATGAGGAATTTTGGTTTGAGCAAACAACCATGAATTGATCATCAATGTGTCTGTCAGTGATTGCTTTCATAACTTCTGTTGACACATTTATAATGCAACACTATTTCATTAAGAATGTGAATAGTATAATAAGCATGACAAAATGTCTTCTTTATTGATAACACATTTCGTCTATAATTTCTTTCCATTTTTTAATTTTTTTTGTTTATTTTTGTATATTAGCAAATAATCCAAGTTTCCAGTTGGCATTACTCTATGTAGCAAATGAAATTCTGACAAAAAGTTGTAAATATGGTGTTTCAGAATTTGGTGAAGTGTTAAAACCTTTTGTCATAGAAGCAACACAATTTTTAAAGTAAGCTTAATTTGTTCAATATTCTTCATTTGGTCATTCACACATTCACTATTAGACCTGGACCATTTATTACTAAATTAACAAAATTGATTAATTATTGGACTTATCGAAAAGTGTTTGATGTTCAATTTACAGAACAACTTTTACAAAGAATAAGTAAGTTTAAATGAACAAGTATCTCTTAATATTAATAATAATTTCAAAACAATTAGTCCCTTTTATAAATTTTGATAGCGTTATTAGAAGACGGAGACTATCTGAAAAATGTGATGTATTTGAAAAATACATTTGAACTTGTTGACTGTCTTGTAGATATGAGCATAAAAGATAGGAAAATGTATTTATTTGATGTTAATTCTTTGTTTACTGATGTACTATTGATTTAAGACTGTTGATATTCTTTGTGACTATATATCTTGTAGTTGTTTTTCATTCCCTTTCCCTTTAACTTATTTGAAAGATTTATTATTATTATTATGTACTGACAACGTCCATTTCACCTTTGAAGGCGAACATTTTCGACAAGTGGATGGCGTTGCTATGGGGAGTCTATTAGGACTTTTGTTAGCGGACGTGTACATGTCTTATGTTGAAAACTTATCCCTTGATTTAATTTCAAAATTGCCCTTCTATAGGAGATATGTAGATGATATCATTTTGATATGTGACGATCATGAAGATGCGAGTCGCCTATTAGACAGACTTAACTCTTTACAAAATCATTTTAGTCTTACATGTGAGGAAGAAAGTTGCAACCAGCTAGCATTTTTAGACATCGTCTGTCTGTCTGTTTTCGACATAGAACTTTGCACAAATGTGCGGAAGTTCAAGTCGCCACATTCCGTGTAGCACGCGAAGCAAGAGAAGAAAGTACAAGAAAAGCATAATAGAAACAGTGAGCAGAGGTGTGAGACAAAGGAGTAATAAAGAAATACAAAACAGTTTCATTGAAGATCATAAGTCACAGGGAGTGGATGCATCTGCGCCACTGAGAACGGTATTTTTAGACATACTTCTGAGTCGAAGAGATGATGGCTCAATAAAACGGTCTATCTACAGAAAGCCCACTTGGACAGGGCAATACCTTAATTTTCACAGCTTCTGTCCATTACAGTATAAGAGGGGCTTGGTGAAGTGTCTATATTCAAGAGGATTCAGCGTATTTGCACGGCTGATGTTATGGACAAAGAAAACGAAATATTAATGGATACTCTTGTTGAAAACGGACATCCTTTGAAATTTTTAAACAGGTGTAGAAGTCATCTAGCTTCTAAACCTACAATCCATACCGTCCCTAAGAAAAAGGTTTTCATCAAATTACCATATAATGGGGAAATAAACAGTAGGATTTTGAGACAAAGGTTGAATTCAATCATCCGTAGAACCTACTATGCAGCCCAGCTTGTAATTGTGGAAAAAGCTAAAAATATGCTTCACTGTAAACCTCAAAAGTGCACAAGTGATTATATCACATCCCACACAATTTACCAATTTTTTTGTGTGTGTGGGCATACATACATAGGGAGGAGTAGTCGCGCTTTGCACGTGAGGGTGGGAGAGCATATCCCAAAATGGTTAGAAAAACAGATGAATTGTGACAAGCGAATGGATGCAGATGGCAGACTACCAAATTCGTCTATAGCTAAACATCTAATCGAGATGAACCAATAGATTGATGTTAACTCAGCCCTTAAGATCATCTATAAAAATGGTCAAGGGTGTTTACTGAAATACGCTGAGGCTATAGCTATTCATAGACTTAAGCCCCCCTTGTGTATTCAAAAACAGTTTGTCATTACTCTTAACCTACCTTGGTAATCCTTATTTGATTGGATTACCAAACGTTTGTGTTAATTATTCTTAATTCCTTTTTCTCTCACTTTGTTTAATTTAACTTTTCCATATATATTGACTTGACAAGTAAATGTGTGATCAGATTGTTCGAAATGTATAGCGCTAATACATCACATTTTTCAGATAGTCTCCGTCTTCTAACAACGCTATCAAAATAATAATTTCGCTTTTATTCCAGAAACAGTACTTGTGGTACAGTGTGGAATTTTCAGCACATATCTACAATATTGCATCTAATTTTATCGGACATTTAAAAAGGAGTATTACAAAAATAAATAAATAACAACAACGAGAAAAACCAAAAAGAAACACAAAAATAACAAAAAAATGCAAATAAAAATACCAAGTAGAAAGGAAGATAAACACCAATAATGAAAACTATTTCAGTACTGGGTAATGGAAGCTATGATATGTGTATTCGTGGTGAACGGTAACAGCTATAATCATACAAGAAGTTATGAAATGTTCTTAAGAATGTTTATAGCCAAGATGATCAGTTAATTTGATTGAAACTACACTAAACAATCATAAAATAAACATTTCAGGGTTTTTATTTTTATTGTCAGCACTAATGCAGTGCTTGTTGTAATAGTGTGAGTAATCCTGTATAATACAAAATTTTAAGATGGTGATAGTGGCGTTCACAAACAAGATTGTCAGCTGAATAGTGCCGAACAAAAGAAAACAATCACAAAACTAATATTACATGATGGTTAATGACAGGACAATTTAGTAATACTCATAGTAATAATATAGTCGGACCCAGTAGTTACACAAAAGAAGGAATAGAATAAAGAATAAAAAAGTAAGCTAATGATAATAATTTCAAGTAGCTAAGTATGTTTAAGAAGGTGGTTCACTATAGAGTACAAATAAGAGAGTATAAGGGGAAATAACAAGGGCCAAAATTATGTTATTAACAACAAAGCAAGTCATAGGTTTCGCGCTTAACATTGTCTCTGTCACATAGGACAAGAGTCGAATATGGTATCGTTGAGTTCCTATCCTACTTGGTTGTACGAGCATACATTATTTTGTACTGATTTCAGGTTCTACCTGATGAGATAAAAGGAGAGATTTGGGAAAAGAGGCGGTGTTGGGGGTCGGAGAGTATGGTTTTATACCATTTTTCGCATGTATTCAGATGCTTATCTACTAATGTAGTGACGAGCTGACTGAGTTTTACACCACTAGTCCTACTAACTACCTTCAACATCCTTCTCAGGATGGTATAGTCCTTTTTAAGTAACCCAGGAAAGACTAATGGGGAGCAGTAAAGTAGAATAGGTAAGATACGAGAGTTGACAAATTGTGAAAGCAGAGGTTGAGTGATTCCAGTTAGTCTGAGTTTCTTAATGTAGTAGATTAGACGAAACACTTTCTTAGAAATCGTTTGGATATGAGATGACCAAGTAAGGTCGGACGATAGAACTAATCCGAGGTATTTTGCATTAGACTTTGTTTCAATTTTAGTCCCCTCAATTCTACAGACATCATGAGTGCTTACTAGTGTTTGTAGATCTCGTTTATGCCTAAAGGAGAAGTCGAAAGTCTGGCATTTTGAGGGATTCAGCATGAGGCTGTTTAGTTTAGACCACTGAATGATGCCCGACAGGAAGCTATTTAATTTGAAGCAGTCTAACTGAGACTTAACGGGAAGCGAAACAGTCAGGTCGTCTGCATATTTGACGAAGTTGATTTCGTCTGAAAGAGGTAAGTCATGTAAGAAGAAGGAAAAGAGAAACGGCGAGAGAACAGCACCCTGAGGAACACCAGCTTCAGTAAGCAAAGGAGAGGAGGCTACACCATTATATACCGTGTACTGCATCCTATTGGAGAAGTAAGAGTGCAGCCAGTTGATAGCCCAGGACTCAGTTTGTGTAAGACTAAGCTTGTTTTAAACAAAAGGCCTCTAGGTGCAGAGTCGAAAGCAGATGTGTAATCAAGGAATGTACAACGGACATACTTGGCCCCTTTGTCAAAGGAGGATACAATGTTGTGATGAAACACAGCAGCAGCGTCCAATGCACTTCTACCCTGTTTGTAAGCAAACTGTTTTGGATCATTTGAGAAGCTTAGGGAGGGAACGAGTGTTCATAACACTAATTTCTCCATTAGTTTCAAAAAAGGAGAGCTAATAGCAATAGGTCTAAACTTAACACTATTTCCATAACCAGACTTGGGTACAGGGATGATTTTAATATCTTTCCACAGAGAAGGTACAACATAATTAGTAAATGAAGTAATGAAAATGCTTGTAAGTGGGTTACTTAAAATATCAGCACATTTCTTTAGAACAATGGCAGGTATACCATCAGGGCCTAGACTCTGGGAAGGTTTAAGAGATTTTAAACATTTAAGAACACAAGAAGTATTGAAACTGTGAAAGTCACTAGTCATGTTTTTAGTTAAATTGAAGGCAAATTGGACATTTGGAGGGCGGATAAAAGATCTATTGAGAGTATCTACATCAATAGAAGAGGCACAATTACTATGCTTACCATAACTTGTAATTTCTCTAGAAAGCTTTTACATGTTTTCTGAAATTTTACAAGACAGTATTGTTTGACTATAAATATTGTTTAGTCTCTTGATTTCAGATTTAATTTGGATGTTTATCTTCCTAAGACCAGATTTATTCCTTGTCTTGTACAGCTTCTCTTTTTCTCTTCGAAGCTTTTTGAGATAAGGGGAAGAGAAACGGTCCATTATTTTTAAAAGTATCTGTTTTGAACGGCGCATATCAACGCAGAATTTAAGATAGTCAGTCAAGTTGGAAATAGTATCATCCAGTGTGTGTTTGTTGAAAAGCTCCCAGTTTCTGTTATTTAGCATACATCTTAGTTTGAGCAAATTTTCCTGTGAATAACACCTTTGCTGTGTTTTCCTGTACAGATTTGAGAGGATATTAAAGTGAGATCTGCTGTATACCTTAGGTAATATCCGAATGATACAATGATCCGAGTTCATTATAGGAGCACGTCTGCGTGCTTCATATATTTCCTCATCATTTATAAACACTAGATCCAGAGTTTTATCAAGTCGATTAGGAAATTTAACAATACTGACATGACCTAATGATACAAAGAAAGAACAATCGCAGCAATTGAAATCTCCTGTGACAACTGATAAAGAGTTTTCAAGATGCATAACGGCGAATTCAGTGAATTTATTATCAAAATCAGATAGATCCGAGACAGAACAGCCAGGAGTAACACAATTTTTTTCACTGGTATTCTGGAAATCACAATATTAATTCTGATTTATTCTGGAATTTTCATCTTCCATTCCACCATCACTCTCTACTAAGTTATCTTGTGGATGAAGTTCGTAGAAGTCTATTCGTATCCCTACCTCTTATTCCTTACTTAGGCAGCTTTACAGCATTCTTTCAACCTCATTTTCAGGGGTTCTCGGTGTTCCCACACAAACACACAATTCCTGCATGAAACTAATTAGTTTTCTTCGGTTTTTCTTCTTCTCTTCTAAGCGTTTTTAGTTGTGCAGAAGAGTACTTGTTGAAT